GGGTGCCGTTCAACCCACGCTGCACCGGAACAGTATAGCGGCCGAAGCGCGAGGGGGTCAGCGTCGTGCCACCGACATATTTGACGACTTCCGTAACGACGGAATCCTGCAACAACAGATACGTGTAGTCCCCGCTGGCGATCGCAGTAAGGCGGCCTATCTGGGTTGCGGGCAGGATGATGAAGTCGTCTGTTGCTTTTACCGGGCCGACTATATGGGAATGAAACCCGTCTAATCCAACAAACATCAGACGCACTCCCCGCAGCCGGCGCCGCCCTGCCGCACGCAAGTGACGATACCATTCGTAATCGACAGATCTGAACCCGGGGTAGCGGTTCCCGTAAAGCCCCCCACCTGGTCGGGGGCAACCAGTGACTGCACGAACGCCGCCATCTGCGCTTTGTTCCACGCCGTTTCCAGACACGTCCCGGCGGGGAAATTCTGCGCTACGGTGCCGTCCTGAGCGCGCACCGCGATGAGAGAATTACCATACGCGGAGGTTACCAGCACGATTTCGGTCTGCGGTCCTGCGGTCAGCGTAAGGTAAACCTGCATGTTTTCCGCAGGTCCGAGGCGAGCCGCGCCATCCGTGACCAGTTGCAAAACGGTATCAGTTGGCGATATGGCGTCCAACAGCTTCGATCGTCGGCCGACCTTCGAGAAATCAATCATCACACCCTCCACAACCATCGTCACAATCTGTCGATAGTGTTGGGGTTACACCAGATATATCATGCGGCATACACGCGCCGACATGCTCCGGAGGTCTCCGCTCTATCGATTGCGTAGCGGTTACCCGCGTGCGAGGGGCACCTTCCTTTCGGAACAGGAGCCAGCCTCCGAACCATGGTTGTTCGCAGCCCCGGTCCTGTGAAATCTGGCCTTCATAATAGCCATCCTTCAACCGGTGCCATTCCGGGGGCCAGCGGATCTCCAATGCCCCGTCATATCGAGCGAAAATAGGCTCGATCCGCAGGCAGAAACAGGACTGCCCCTTCCGGCGCAGATGCAGGGACAGACACTCTGCGGGCATCGGGAAACGATATCCTTCGCCGGAGCCATCATCCAGCTTGATTACCGATGCGGCCGTCTGTCGCGGGACACGGATCGTATCGCGGGCGTGAGTGCGAGCGTGGTGCAGCGGTATCCCTGATTCACACGCGTCGTAACACCGACCACACCCGAACGGCACTACGACCGGGACGGTTATCATCGGGTCATTACACAGCCCCGCAGGTGGTGGCTGAAGTTTTCCGAAAGCTCTCACCAGTTATACCCCGCTCCGTAGGTAAGGCCGCCGAACGCTCTGCGCCCCCCGGACGAAGGGGCGAGCGCGCATACGCAGGACGCCGTGTGTATAGTTGGACAGCTTCCGGTCGCGGGCTTTACCTATCTCTGCTTCAGCAAGCGCCCGATAACGGATAGCCCGGGGCTGGGATGACCAATCCTCTTTCGGCATATCGAAAATCTCGGCCAGGGCGCAATACTTCACCCCCTCCATCCACTGGTTATATAATTCGGAGGGGACCATGCAGAAATTACGCTGCGGCTGCCACGAATAATCTATCGTGCGCGGCACTTCGCAGGCGCCGGTAGGGGCGTATGAGAACTCTATGACCGGTTCCGGGCCATCCCGTAGGATAAAGTCACTGCGGCCGGGTCCGAAAATATCCCCGAAAAAGTAATCGGCCGGGTTCCGGCAGTACTGTCGGCCACGGGAAAAATCCGGGGCAATCAGATACTGGTCGGAGGGGATATCCAGCATATAGTCCCGAACACCGTGCTGGAACTGGATCGTGGTATGGTCCACCAACACCCGGCTCTCATTGCAGAACCGGATGATGCCCTCCTGCAAGGCATGATCCAGAATGAGCGAGGGGACGTCGCCCACCAGCGGACGCACGAAAGTATGAAATTCTTCGAGCGGGACTTTTTGGTCAGCGGTTGACATCTTGGCGGTCCTGTTGCGCGTCCCGCTCGTTTTGGAGATCCGCCGATATGGTCAGACCAATGGCGTCTTTTGCGGCCTGATAGTGCGCGCGGGCCGTCTCTCGTAGCGTCGGGCTCTCGTTTTCCCCATTGCAGACATAAAATAACATCAGGCTCTGGACAATACTATCGATGCTCTCGGTGACCGGCAGATCATCGCCCATACTGGTGGGTCTTGGGGAATACTCGCACAGAACAGTGAATGTCTGGCTGGTGTCGCCAGCCGGCACGGGGGGATACACATAGATATTATTCGGACTGTCCGAGCCATCGTATGTGTACTCCCGCACCCGATACGGACGGCCGGCCGGTGGGGGACATGCCCGCTCCGGGTCCACAATACGCATCGCCCGGCGGGATACCGGAATTGCGTTCTCCGTCGTATCCGACACCCGGTTACAACAGGACGGCAGCGTCTGAAGGCTGCCCGGCTGAAGCGTCAGTTTTATCGACCGGGAGAAGATCGAGGGGCGCCACGCGGATACCTGCTGGACAGCCCATGAATATGCCTCGAACCAATACAGTTCAGACCAACGGGAAAACTCATGGCCTTTCCGCTGGTCCTCCATCAGTCTGGAACAGGCCGTTATGAGCGGACTGGCCTTCATTACCGGCCTTTACTGGCGGCCTTGGCCGGCTGCGGCGGAGGCATAGGAGGCGCAACACGGCCTGTTCCGGTCTCCGCCAGTGGGACCGGTCCGGCGGTGCCGACGTCTGGCACGTTGCCCTGCGGTAGTTCCTCCTGCGGAGGAGCCAGATCCCAACGCGCAGGGGCCAACGTATTCGCCCGTGCGTTTGCTCTGTATTCCCGGATAACGGCGATAAATTCCGGTTGTTCTTTCCGGGTATAGACGCGCACGTTTTCCATGTTTTTAACGTCAAACGGCGCTTCCGGGTCCCACGGATATGGCGCGCCGCCAAGGTCCGTGTATCCAATGATGCCGTAACGCGGCGCAGGAACCAAAGCCTTATCGTATTCCCGCACTTCCGTGCGGTGCTGTGAAGTCTTCATCGCTTATTCTCCCAAGAGGGGTGGGGCCGAAGCCCCGTTAATCAACCGGTGGTGGAACCGCCGGAAGTCACCGTGCCGCTGGTCGTAGCCGCTGTCCCGGAAGACGTAGCGGAACCAGACGTTGAAGTGCCCGAGGTGGAACCACCGGACGTCACCGTGCCGCCAGACGTCGAAGACGATCCGGAGGTGGTGCTGCTACCGGACGAAGTGCTGCTGCCCGTGGAACCGCCGGAAGTCGTCGGGGCTTCCGATACGCCTTTCGGACGGAACTGACTGACGTTCGCCGTGATATCCGGCAGGCAACCGACCGGCGGGTAGGTCGCGTCGCAGTGGATCGGACGGCAGGAACAACCGCGCTCATCGTGGAAGTCCTGGACAGCGTAACGGGTGGCGAAACAGACGTCCGTCATATCCAGAACAGTGCCGACGTCCAGCCCTGCGGCGCCGGTAATTTCGATAGTCACCCACACGCCAGCCGTGGAGTAATCACCATCGTCGGAATCAGGCGGGCAGTAAGCCGAACCGGCTTTCGATCCCGGCGGGACGGTAATTGTGCGGCTCTGGTATGTATCGCCGTCATCCGTCGTGACCTTGCTCTGGGCTGTCATGGTCAGACCAATGCCCGAGGGGAGGTCTTTCTTCAGGATGAGGTTCATTCCAGCGAAAACATGATCCTCGCCCGCCTCGTGGACCGTCAGAATATCGCCGACTGCGAAGCCTGCACCGTTGGCAGTCGTGCGGAACATGAAGTTCTGCCACTGCTCATCGCCGCCGTCGAAATAGAACGGGAGCATGTAAAAGCGGCGAGGCAGATGAACCGCGTATTTCAGCGGAACAAATGGGCCTTCGACACCGGTGTTAAGTGTGGATTCCAGCGGCCAGTGAGCCAGATTGCCGCCGAGGAATACGTTATACTGCGTCATGGTAGTTTCTTACCCTCTGCGGAATTAGCCGTTGGTGGGGGGCGCGATGATTTTGGCGCCGTTCGTGACTTTGAACGTGCCATACATAATACCCACCGCTTCCGGACGGAGAACCTTCATTCCGTAAATGAAGAGGCCGCGCCAGAACGAGTGGAAACTACGGCTGTCGACCGGGACAACCTCGTTCTTCGCCATCTGTGTGATGAAGCCGGTCGCATCCCGACGACCGAATGGCATCGCATACGTCCACACGCCGGCAACCGGGTCCCAACGACGCGGCAGCAGATTGGAGAAGTAGATATTGCGGAAGCCGCCGATCGGGCCGTCATAAGCCTCAAGACCGATAAGCTGCAGTGACCGCGGAAGCCCGGAAGCGTATGCCTGGCCGAGGACCTGCGAACCAGCGAGAACCGGAAGCGCCTGCGTCGGCAGCACGATAAACCGATCCGCGAAATCAACATTGCCTTCGGACAGAACCGCGGATGCGTTGTTGATGTAGTCGAGGACGGAGAATTTATCCAATACGACGGGAGCACCGAGGGAGCCCATGTCATACGCGCCCGAGGTGGCGCCAGCACAGGACCCCTTATTGGCCGGATGCGCCTGCGTTTCGAGCGTGAAGAACAGTTCCACGTCCGTGCGCTGCGCGATCTGTTCGAGGGCGTCGTATTTATACATGTCGATATAATTATCGACGTCCTGAATCTGCAGATGATCCACGTCATCCAGCTTCAGGTTAAAATACTTGCCACGGTCGATGGTCATTTCCATCGGGACCGTGTTCAGGCCGTCGCTCTCAAGATCCTGATTCTTTGTGTAATCGAAGACCGTAGCGCGGGGCGGACGGCGGAAAACAACCGTGGAGCCCACCCGCGAAATGATCGAGGGGACAATATCCTGAGAACAGATCAGGCCGCCGAGCGTGCGCGCGTAATACCGCGTCACAAGGTCGGTGACGAAGATCGGGTCCTTCAGAGCCTCGAATACACCATATCCCGATGAGGCGGGGACGACAGTCTGGCCGGGGTATCCACCGGGGGCGCCGTAATTCATTTGCGGGTAACTCCTGCTTTACGTTAGCGGCGACCGCTCTGGGCAGCACGCAATAGAGTATAAGTCTTTTCGTAGCCTACGCGAGCGTCCATGTCGCGTGGGTCTGCCCGCATACGGGCTGCGAAATCACCAAGCGCCTTTTCGGCAGCGGCCTGGTTAAACCGACGACCGCCCATAAGGGCCGCCATCGATGGCGGAACTGACTGCCCCGGCGAACCGCTTGGTGCGCCCGGAACGGTCGGAAACTGGTTCTGCTGGCCGTAAGAAACGCCGACCGGCTGCCCCTGCTGCGGGAACGGCTGCTGCTGGGTTTGCGGCTGCTGCCAGTTCTGCTGGCCGTAAGGCTGCGGCTGCGCCGGCTGCTGGAACTGCTGCTGCCCCGGCTGCTGAAACTGCTGAGGAGCCTGTGGCTGTTGTGGGGTCACGCGGCGCCGGAACTCTTCAAGCTGCTGGGCAACGTATTCCACATTTCCACTCCCAAAAGCGCGAGCAAGAACTTCCCCCGCGGGACGGGGAACGGTGCGGCCGCATCGTAAACCATCTCGGACGCAAACGAATTATACGCCGGATTGTTCATCAGCGTCTGGGCGTCGGGAACGCGAACCGTCATAAGCTGCGCCGTGGTAGCCTCGCGGGCCGCCCGTTCCGCCTGCGCCTGTGTCTCGGTCTGCTGGCGCAGATTACGCATCTCCGGCGTGATGCGGCTCGTATCGTACTCTGCGATGGCCTGGCGAGCCACTTTCGCCAGAAGCGCCCGTCCAGCCGCGCCGCCGATCGACTGTTCTTCCTGCGGCGTCAGCGTAATGTCTTCCGGACGGAAAACAGGAGCCGGCGCTTCCGCCTGTGGGCGAGACTGCTGGGACTGCTGCGCCGTAGCCGCCAGCGCACGCTGAATTTCCGAACGAACGAGGGCAGCAGTGTTGTCGGGGGCTGCCGGTGCGCGTGGCGGGTAATACGGCTGCTGGGGAGCCGCAGCGGTGTTCGGCGGCTGCCAATTCTGCTGGGGAGCCTGCGGCTGCTGCGCCGCCTGCTGTTGTTCCTGCTGAATCTGGTTCGTCAGGTCCGTTTCAAAATACGCGTTATAAAACGGGTCTGACAGATCAACAGCGCCGGCCGCACCCTGGACCGGCGGGGATGCCGGCTGCTGGGGAGCCTGCTGGCCCGGCTGCTGGGGCTGGAACTGCTGGGGAGCCTGCTGGCCCGGCTGCTGTGTGTATCCGCTCATCGCTTAATTCTTTCCGGGGTTAAACTGTTCGAGTAGGTCGCGCATCATCCGCACGCGGCCCCGACGATACTCGGACGTATCAAAGGCTTCAAGCTGTTCGCGCTCATCCGCCAAAGTCTGCCGCATGTATTTTATGACGGCCGCGTGGGCGTTTGACGTTCGGATGACCGCGATCATGCGCTGTCGATCGGCCTCGTTCATGTGGTCGCCCCTCCCGAAGAAATAGCCCGGGTCAGGACGACTTTAAACGGGCTGTCACTTACGTGGACTTCTGCGTCCGGACCAACGTCCCCGTCTACATCGAAGAAATACGTTCCGGGGATGGTGAGAACGAGGGGGCTGGTCGCTTTACTCAGGACCACCGGATTACCGTTTTCGTGGAACTCCACGAAATCTCCATCCGGGATATTGGCCCCGATCAGTGGCGAATACATGACCGCGAGGACGTCTTCATCGAAAAAACGGACCGCGATAGCCACCTTACCGGTGCCGTCATGGATCTGGAATTTTCCGGGTGACTAATTCCACCATCAATCTTCCCCAAACAGGATGGTCATTATCTCACGGCACGCCAGGACACGCGCCGTTCGTTCAGCAGAGATCGGGGTTGTTTCGTGTTCCTCACGCGCGAGCGCAAGGCGCTCTGTCAGAAGCTGACGCAGGGGTGCCGCATAAGCAGACCGGCGAAACGATGACAGGGTGCGATCGGTCACAGGATAAACTCCACATAGAGCCGTAAATCAAACTCTGGGACCCCCGCCACGAACGGAGGTAACACAATCCGCGCCGGTATAAAACTACCTCTTATATCAGGTAGCGGTTCTGACCCGCCATGGTTGTATATTCGAATACCGCAGGGGGCAAAGGTTTCCACGTCCGGCGCGAGGGTGAGGCGCATCTGCTTCGCTGGCAGCGGCACCGCGGTTATACCGCTGGCGGTAGCCGGCATCCCCGCCGCTTCAGCATCGCCCGAAAGCAACCGCAGTCCGCGGTAGTGTCGATACTTACGATCAGCGTCCCGCAGATACGACACCGAGTAAACAAGGGTATGCGTGGGGAAGGCGTGCTTGCCATCTTCCCCATCTTCCCCGTCTTCCCCGTGAAGTTCTGTAATAAAATGGCGTTCCCGCACCACCTCAACCGGTATCTCCCGAGGCTTGGGGCCGGTTCGCGTGACTGTTGCGGGAGACGGGCGGGCGCGGTGGAACGCTTTAGCCATCGGTTGTTTTATCCGTACTGGAACCTGCCCGGGTAATACGAGCGAGGAGGGGAGGCCGAGGGGAAATTACCTTCGGCTCCGGGCTATTTGTCGTGGGCTGCTGGCTCGTGGCGGCCAGATGCGAGGATCTGAAGATCCCCGCGGCACGACTTCCGCAGTTGCAACCCATCAGCCGGCAACCGGAGTTGGTGTGTAGCCGGGCACCATATAACCCCCCAGCTTGAACCACACACTTGGGCCACCCATCGTAGAGTTCGTGCCACCGATGATGGTAGTCGAGATGGTCCCGTTTTCTGTAGTCGCTACCGTATCCGTTGTGTCGGGAGCCAGCACCGCATCCCCCGCGAGTTCGTTTTTAAGCCAGTCCGGATCGACTTTAAGCGGGTCTGTGGTAGTTCCCGTCCCATCCAGAGATTCGTCGTGCTGAATGTCCAACACATAGGGATCAGCCTCGGTGCCGGTGCCAGAGAAGCCGCCGTCCATGTGGATACCGTTCTGGATCTGCTTCAATAGCCACGTCGTGTCGACAGTCAGCGGGCTGGCCGTGGTCCCGGCGCCATCCAGAGACGCGTCATGGACAATAGTGAGCGCGAGGGGGGTGTCGGTTGTCCCATTCCCGCAATACCAGAATTAGGCGCGACCGTAACGCCGTGCGTGTCCATTTCGTTATCGATGAACGCCTTCAGCCACGATTCATTGACGCCGAGAGGGCTGTCGCAGGTGCCGGAGCCGGTCAGCGTCGAATCGTGAATAACGACCTTGGACTGCTCGATAGCCTGCGTCATGTCGGAACATGTGGGCACTTTCGCCGCACCGAGACGCGATCCATCGCAGGCCAGTAGGGGAGCCTGAAGGTTACCCGCGTTCATCTCGGCCCAGAGATACGCCTGAACCCACCCTTTAATCATGTCCGGATCAGGGCAGCAGTTATTTACGGTCGACGCGCTCATTGGCAGCACCCTTTAGTTATGAACTGCGAAGCCAGGATGAAGTCCCGGCCCACGTATTCAAGTTTAACAGTCACGCCCACAGAAGTGCCGACCAGACCCTCATCGACCACTACCTTACCAATATCCAAGCCTATTTGGTATCGCCCGGGGGCAGGATAGTGAATGGGCAGCCCAGCGGCCAGCAATACGTGAAGGTTGATTCCTCACAACAGTTGGTCGCGCAGACAGCGACCCGCTTTATATAAATGCGGGGACGGTTGCAGTCTGATAGTTCCCAGTCCGTATGAACCACCCGAAACGTGCCCGGAGGAACTGTAAAGCACAGAACGTCTTTTGTTTCCGGGACAGCGAAAGTCTCAATGATCGCAGGGATGGTGATAGTGGTTCCATCCGGTTGCGCACACGAGAACGAGGGGGAAACCTCCTCGGGCACCAGATCCAGCATCCACGTATAATTAAGGCAGGCGGCCGGCTTCAGGGGACGCGTCCATATCCGGGACCGACCCACTCCCCTCCGTGGGGTAGAGATAGTTCGGCTCCAACGCGTTAAATTCATCGGGGGTCATCATTAACTGCGTCCCATCGTCTGCGGAAGGTTGTTCGCCTGCTGTATAGCACCGACTGCCGGGGCGGAGCGACCGTCAAGCTGCGCAGGCGGCGGCGCGGCCGGGTTCGGCTGCCCTGCCCCGGCCGGCCCTCCCAGTCCCCCCGCCTGATATGCGGACCCGGTAGACTGAGCGAACGCGTTGGACAAAGCCAAATTCTGCATCCCGTTCGTTGGGATATTGTTCAGCTTCGCCCAGTAATAGAACAGGCTCAACATTTCCTGCGCGACCGGGCTACCCTCACGAAGCGCCTGCGCCACCGGCGCCAACGTCTGCATCGCCATCAGAATATCACTCGATAGCTGCTGGTTATCGACCAGCCCTTCGACACCCTTCGGATGCACGCGGATATCACCCCGGATGGTGGGATCAGGCGCAGACATGAGGACAATATCCACAAAACCCTGTCCGACGGGCACGATAATCTCTTGTCCGAGGTTGGAGATAATCTGCTTCAGGGGTTTTGAGGATTGGTTCAGAACCATACTCATACCGCCAGAAGTGCGACCGACGCCGTTCTGCGGCAGTCCGCCGAGCGACATACGGGAGAAGCCGATAACTTCGAACCCCTGTTCCTTGAAATATTCGAGCGCCGTCTGCATCTCCTGCAGATGGCTTTCGATATCGTGGAAAACGAACGCGGTGCCGTTCTGCCCGGCCAGTCCGGGCTTTACGCGCTTCAGAACATGGGGCTCAATGAAATCCGCAGATTCATCCGGAGCGAGGCGGGTAATGTCTACTTCGCCAATCGGCCCGGACGCATACGCCATGTTGCGCAGCATCTCCCGCACCGTCGCTTCGCAGGTGCGCTGAACATCAAACAACCGCGTCGGGACACTCTCCCCGAAGATACTTCCGGCTATCGGTTCGAAGCTGCTGGTCTGGTAGGGGCGGCGTCCGCTCGGCTGCGCATTGAGCGCCGCACGGATAACTTCATCCCCACAAACCTCGATCTCGGCTTCGTACCATTGCCAGTCGTTTAGCTGATAGCCGCCCGCGGCGTTCAGCATATACCCCGGAATACGCCCGTAGAAACAGATGACGTCATACGCCCCGGTGCCGTCCATCGTGGTCTGCCCCATGAGCGTCAGCAGGTCCCGATCCGGGTCCAGATCCATGCCGGTCCAGTATGGCACTGTATAGCCGTCCGGGTTGGCCTCCTGACACGCGCGGACGCCATCTTGATCGTAACCATCCACCATAGCCAGCAGGGCAAAATCGACCGCCGTCGTCCGGCGCACCTCGATGACGTATTCGCACGACTGGCAATCGCGCGCATATGGCGCGGGGTAAAATCGAAACGGGTTTACATTTTCTACCGCCCAGACACTATCGTCGTCGAATACAAGAGAATTGGTGACTGCATCCCAGTTTCGAGTTTTCCGGGGCGCGAGGAAGGGACCTTTTAGCACGGCCGTCGGGTAAATGACCATGTTTGTGATGAAGTCCCGGAACTCCCGTGTCCAACCGGCGGTAAACAGACGCTCCTTTATTTCATCCTGCAGATTCTGGGCCGCGTCCGTAGCACGTTCGGAAATCTGTTCCTTCGCGGCCTCCTGCATCCCGTCGATAGCCTGCTGAACCAATGACGGGTCGCCACCGGTCATCTGCATCAACGTCTGAAGATTGTTCATCAGAAGCTGCATGAGCCACTGTTGCACATCCTGCGGTAGTTCCGGGGAGGATGTTGGCACGCAGGTTATCGGGGCGTCGATCGACGAACCGAATACGTCCAGGACATTCGCTGTCACCGCTTTCACAACAGCCGGGATAACCGGAAAAGTTATCCGGCTCGCGGCGTCCGCATCCGGGTCGTCGTCGGCCGGCAGATCGAGGGGGAACCCTCGGACCGTCCGGATGCAGTCCACCATGCGGCGGAACTCAGGCTGCCACGCGTCGCGGGATCTATCCAGACAGCCATGCACATGCGCAGCCAATGTCTGAACTACCGCGAGCCTGTTATTCCGCCGCGCCATGGTCAGTCCTTACGGCCAGTGGGGAGATTGAGTTTTTCGTAATACTCCTCTCCGAACTTGGAGGCGAGGGCCGTCTGGGCCAACACGTTATAATTCACGGCCTGACTGTCCACCTCGCGGCGGGAGACTTCCGCCCAAAAAATCTGGGCGTCGATACCGTAAACCGCGGGAATCATGGTGAGCGCCAACCACGCATCAGCCAGTGCGCCCAGATTGCCGGCGAGCGCCTCCACCCCCGATCCTGCCTGTA